GTGGACTTATTCTATAAGTTTCAGAGTATTTTTTTAAATAATTTTTATTGTAATTTTGTTAAAATTTTATTTTCTGTTTTTATGATTATATTATATGTTTTATATATATCCCAAAACAATTTGTTTGCATTTAGCCCGCGTTTATTTTAATTTACATTGGTTTTTAATTGAATAATTAATAATTATAATTTACAATTTTTTTGCTTCATACACAATATTTATTTATTTATACGTATTAATTTATAGACAAGTAGATCTTTCCTGTTAAAAAATAATATTTTTATTTTTTTTTATAACAATTATTAAACAAGTATTTATTTTAATATTTTTAGAAAATAGTATATAGTAGTTATAATTTTTTTTTTTAATAAACAGAATTTTTACTTTTATTATAAGGAAAAAAAAATTTTTTTTTATTTTTATATTTTACAATAGTAAGTATAACCATTAAATCGGACAATTAATTTTTTAATTATTTCAATAAGTTATTTAAATTTTTTTTTTTACTAAAATATATTCTGTATTCTATATTTTATAATTAAGATTATTAGTGCAAATTATAAATTATATTCACTGATATTGAAAAACTTTTTGTTGCTTCCGCCGTCATATTACTTGTCGATTTGATAAAATTTCGCAGCTGCTAAATTCATAAGCGCGTTTGCCAAACTATGCTAAGCAATTTTATATATGAAAAAAATATATATTAATAAGAAAAAAAACCAAGAGAAAACAAATAACAATATTTAGAATTACTTTAGTCATAAGAACAGTTTTAACCGCGGAGTTATAAAAAATATGTTAATATACGAGTATGTTTCATTTTATATAAAATAAAGTTAAAAACAACATTGTTCGATAGATATGCATATGCATATAGAGCGACTAGAAATGCGACCTGCTAATTTTTGCGGTCTATGCCATAATTTGAAGAATTATAAAATTCTCACTTAATATGCAGATGAGATCCTCAGTGAAGATTTGGTTAATTTTTGAATATAGAATGTATCTGTTGCAACAGTCCTTAGTATGTATAGAAGGCTCAATCTTTAGAAGAAAAATATATATTGTAATAAGAACTAAAGAGAACTAAGAGGCATTCGCAGTATTTAAGAACCCACGACATTCTTATAAGCTGACTATATGGAGCGTCTCACAGATTTATTCTTGAACTTAACTTAACAGTGAAAATGCAATGTATTGAACTATTTTCAGAGTTAAAAATAGAGCTTTATACTGATTAATATTTAAAATACTTATGCATTTTCTAAAATGTTAAAATATTTTGACAGACGGATGTTATATTTTGCATAAAAATGTTTTACGTATTAATTTGTGACAACACTTTAACTACAAACACTAACACTCACACTCACACTTGAAAGCCAAAACAATGCAAACAAGCAGCGCAACATCATTGGCTTAAGGCATCGTTTGAACGCAATGTCAAAAGGCAGCATTTAATAATTCTGCTGTCATATTGTGTTTTAAGGTGGAGCAGCAGCAGCAGCAGCAGCACAGGACAATGACAATATGGGTATTTATTGTGAGTTTGTAATGACCAAAGAACAAACTCGTAAATTTCTAACAATAAAAAAGTATTAATGTCTCCACAACAAAGGGCTCACTTAAGGTAACAAAACGAAGAAATAAAAAAAACTAAAATATAAAACAAAAGGTAAACACAAAATGGTATTTGTGTACAATGAAAGATCCTTTAAAAGGTTTTTGTAAATTTATCTGCAGAAGGGGTAATCGGTTCGTTTACAAACTTTTAGTATTAGATATATAAAAAGAGATTATTTTATATATATGTACGTATTAAAATGTTTTTAATTGTTTAAAAATGAAAGATATGTCAGGTAATTGTGTTTTAATTTAAAAAAAAATTTTTTAAATTTAATTAATTTTAGAACAGATTTGAAATCGTATATAGATTAGAGAAATATATTCATATTAATATTACATAAGGTATTATAATATAAAAAACTTTGTAAGTACGAAATACATAGCATACAGAAATATTGTCAAATTTGATTCTGATCAACTCTGGAAAGCTAATTGATTTCAATATATCTTTATAGCTATTTTAATCTGTAATCTCCACTCTGTGAATTCGGCATTATTTATTCATAAGTTGAATTGATTTTCATTTAATCGTAAAAGACTTTTTGTTATTTTTGGGTCTCATATGGATTCCATTTTCAATATTCCCCTAGATACTGGGTATCATACAGAATTGTACTCACAAAACCTATTCAACAGTTCTTAATATTTCAAAATATATTTGTTAGGGAAATAAGAATTCTTTTTGAAAAAGCAGAAAAACCGTGCGTTATAGAAGAAAAATTTGTTTCTTTTGCAATATTAAAAGATACTATTGCGTATATGAAATAAATAATTAATATAATTAAAAAATTGTTTACAAAAATTTTGGGAAAAATTATTAAAAATCCCATTTAATTATATGCATGTTTTCGGTATCAAATCAATTCAATTAAAAATATGCAAAGTGTTATGATAATTGAATGCCTCAAATTTTATGGACTATATAGACTGAAAATATATTTCAGTCTAAATTAGCTTGGAATCATCCATGGAAATACGCGTAAACACACTATTCCTGCAGCATCTTTAATTAGTTTTGTTACTATTATAAAGTATAAATATGCTTATAAGCATATATGTAGGTAAGTATCAAATTCGCTATGCAGTTTATTTTTATTTTAGGTGTATCTACAAAAAATTAAGAAGTTTATGTTACAAACAATTTCGTTTACTTTATACTGCTGTCTCATCCTTGTGATTGATTTTTTCTGAACGGTTCAAATTTGATTTATCAATTTGAACTTTAAAATATTTTGAATATCTGATTTAACTACGTTAGTAAATGATATTGATAGTATTTATATATAATTTTTTGTATATATTTAAATTTATTATATAAAGTTTTTCCATAAAGTTATAAATATACATATATTTCTTTTGAAATTTATATTGATAACTTTTTGTACAGTCAGCAATACATGACCAAATTTTACTATTTTTACACTATCGTCTATATCGTCTGATATTTGAAGAATTTATTATTCATTTTTCTTTTTTGTCTACGCAATCCATCAAATAAATTATTTTTTGTTATTTTTTATGATATTTTTTCACATTATAGAACTGTTCCAAACGTTTGGTGTATTGCTGCCAATTAAGTTTATTGTTACTTATTGCCACAACCACATACCGCATAGTTTTCTTACTTTACCCTTGAGATACATTTATGAAAGAAATTAAATTTTTTTTTTTTATATCTATTTTTGCTTATGGTAGAAGTGGAAAGATATTGCGATATTTTTGTTTTTTTTTTGTTTTGTTACAGAAGAGAAAAATATTGAATTAACCATTGGAATACATGCAATGCATTACTAAGATATTCGATTTTTGTTCGTTTTGCGCATTTTTACTTTTAAAAAGGTTGGAATAATATTTTGACCTTAACCTAATATAACTTTTATAAAATTTACTATAACAAAACTTCTGTTTGATAAAAAATCTCTAATGTTATGAAAAAAAGAAAATAATGGAATCGAAAATATTTCAAATATATTTTAAAAATTTTTGAAAAAGATTTACTTTGTTGTACATAAACGTAATATATATTTGTAAAACTTTAATCTGTGAAAAAACAAATCAAAAATAAAGAAAAAATCACTTTTGAGGGAGTTACTACTATATTAAAAGTTGCTCGAAAATTAAAAAAAATTATATAAAAACTATAAATCTTTTTAAGATAATCAACATAACTTAATAAATTATTTAACTTCAAGTAAAAATATAATATTTGAAATAATCTTTTTTTGTTTCAATAATATTGTATAAAATAATATTATATAATTTTAAATTATATATAAATTATATTATAACTTTTTTTTATTAAAATAAATGGGGCAATATCTAACATGCAGAATAAAGAGATTTCCATTGCAAACAGAAAATATTTCATCATATTTTATTAACTGTTTGTATCATATATCGATACTTCACTATAGTGTTTCAATGTAAACAGATACTGTTTGAAGTAAAGCTTGGATATAAACTTAATTCTCAAATGGAATAAAATACTTTCTACAGAGTGACTTTATAATTTTGTTAAAATAAAATTTCTTAATTATATATAATCTTATATGAAAACATGTCATATGAATTAACATGAAAACAATAATCATTTAAGATATCTTAAAAGATTTAAAGAAAAGACATTTAATATATATATAAGACATTTATATATTCATGCAAAATGATTTTTTTTCCGCATTTCAAGAACTATTACCTGGCCACCTTTAAATTGAAAAAGAAAACTCAGCAAATATTTGCTTAACTTCTGTTTTTTATATTTCTAAAATGTGAATCAATAGAATGCGATAACTATCACTAAACCAAATAAAAATGTTTCTAAAAGTCCTTGCAAGATGCGCATCTGATAGCAAACTTGGCAATGAAGCAATGCGCCAATGCACTAATGCAGCAGAACATTATTTAAATAACTGACGCCTGATGGGATTGGACATAATTTTGAAATTCCTCAATTTAATATCTAAAATAATCTCTTTCTTACAAAGGAATTTTATTATAAATATTTTGATATACTCTTTGATTAAATTTTAAACCTTATTCAAATATGTATAGGCATTTAGCACATAAACTTTGTTATTATATATAATGAAATTAAAATTGTTAAATTGAGAAATATTACTAAATAAAAACGATATAGTGAATTTATCTTAAAATGGAAAAGACTTTTGTGGAATCATCTTATATAAAGACAGTTTTACGAAACAAATCATGTTTTCGTCTAATGCAAAATACAATAATAATTTTTGATTTTTTTATTAAGCTATGTTTTTATAGAATTTTAATCTATATAATATTGAAATATAAAAATTTAAAAAAATATTTAGACCTTCTCTTTATTGCAACATTGGAACTTTTTGGTTCAAACGGATCGATTATGCTACAAATTTCACCACTATGCAGAGAAAACAAATTGCTGTTAGAGAAAAAGGAGCTAAAACATTTACAATAATCCATTGGGATGAAATTTTTCCCTTCTTGCAAAGAGAGGGAACACCTTTATGTACCCTAAATCTTACCACTGGATCTGGTATTGATGAAGCTTGTGTTATCAGTATCTTTTTTCGAAGAATATACGAAAATATTCAAGAATATAAGAAAGGTGTACAAATTTAACAAGAAGAACAAAGCCTTTTATGTAGTAGTATTCAAGGCAAAATCAAGGACATATTTTCCACATATTTTTTCTTTCTACTAAGGTTCTAGAAATGATACAACCAATGTGATAAGAAAAAAAATTAGAGTTTTCCAAATGTATATATTCATACATTTTCCTTAAAAGTAATTTTGATTCAATATATTTTATCGAGCTGTAAACTTGATTATAATCTTTATTTTATGACTAAATATTTCACAGAATTATAACGTATAATTAAAATAAATAAAGCTAAAGTGTACTTTACAAAATTTGTAATTTTTGCGGAAGACATAAGTTGTTCTTAAGACTATTTGTTTTTTTGAGTTAAATATAGTTAATCCTTATTTACTTTCTTTTTCAAATTCTTACTAAATTTTCGCTTTAGTAAATTGCCTTAAACTAACACAATCCATCTTTTTAGTGTATACACTGTACTACTACAAGTGTTTAATTTGTTATTATTTTGTTTTATAACACCCACTTAAGTGTTTTACCAATATAAATATCTTAACAGAAATGTATATATTTAATTAATTAATGAAATTAAATTCAATAGTGGAATGCAAAAGCCAAATAACAAATAATGCTGTGACAACATGGCAGTATTAAAACAACACCAGCCTACATTAATATGCACAATTGCAAATGATTAAACAGGATAATAACAACAACAGAATACACAGACAATCAACTCATCAGGCATAAGTGAGTAATTTCTACAATCGAATTATAATCGTTTTTATTAAAAACAAACCATAGAACATCATCAACAATACCGAGTAGAAACAGCAGCACCAGCACCAGCACTAGTAGGAGCAACAGCAACATTAACAGCAACAACTACAAAAACACAAATACCATATAAAGGAGAGCAAGCAACACACTTTATTCCCAGTTGCGTGCAGAACAATAAAACCCTTCCTCTCAATCATACCAAATGTTGAAGCATGTCAATTACGCTGCGTGGGTGATGTTAAATATCTTGTCGAGGTGGCTTTGCAACGCAGTAAAACAAATTTGCGACAGTAAAAAGTCACGAAGTTAAAATTATATACAAATTTAGATATAAACATGAACTTTAAAGAGCAAATTACCACAAAGGTTGAATAATTATGATATATTGCAATAAATGGACGAAGAAAGGTTAATATAGTTCATACATTGTGACCGAAAAGTTTCCGGTCATAAATAAATAAAACGCAAAATTCTTAATCTTCATCAATATTTAT